ACACACACACATGCGTACCCACATACAGACAGCAGTCAGGCTCCTGCCGACCCAGTCCATCATGTTGAACAGAAGGAAGCAGGACACAGGGATGAAGTAAGTATCTGTGAAAGAGACAGAGCAGTTGTGACACGTCTGCTCTCACTGGCAGAAAATAAGTAGGAACTTCGATATAATGACATGCAAACACGCTCACCCCAACCGTTCCCCTCTTCAACAACAGTGGTCTGGACTTCAACAGTGACGGCTGGGAAGACACCAATGGTGACGGTGAAAACAAAGCACACAGAAAGAGCCATCACCCAGATCTACGACAGGAGACCAGAGAGTAGAAGTGTTATTACAAACAGACTCCTGCTCTTAAGAGGCTTTATTATGCATCGCTAACTTCGGCTATGGCTAGTTTGGTTGGTTATGTAGGCAGCTGGTTGGAGTTAAGACCTGTTTGAAGATGCCAAACACTGACACAGCGGGTCTGCTCTCTTCATCAGTCAGGCTCAGGACCGGCCTCTTCTCTGTTTGACCTTCTACAAGCCAAGAGTATAAAAACACGATCAGTTTCTCTTAACAGGGAAACATGAGAAACAGACACAAAGCCTTACCGTATTCTGTATTTGTCATTTAGCAACAAAAAAGTCTTTAAACATCATGAAAAACACATTAAGACACTGTTCAGTCACTCCGAGACTGGGATTTTTTTTAGGGAATAGTGTCCCAAAGTCAAAATATTTAGGAGCAGTCAAAATTAAAAATCAAATAATTAATACAAGTTTAACACAAAAATGAGAGAAACTTAGAGTTAAAGCTTTTAAGACAGAACTCAGAAAAGGCACTAGTGACTAGATATAAATCTAACGTCTAAATAAGCCTAATTTCCACCGAGTGGTACAGTAAAGTACAGTACAGCACAGTACGTTTCGGGACGGTACACCGTGATCCGGCTTGTGTTTCTACCACCAACAGTACTCTTACTTGACATACGTGGTGTATGCCGGAAAGTAGCGATCAACGTCAATTGTCGCTCGAAGAAGAAAGCGCAACATTGTCTGTGCGTAAGTGTGTGAAAATTCTAAAATACACCGTTTAAAATAAAATATTCTTACTTATTCTAATTCTAAAATACCCTGTTATATTTCATTCCACTTTCATTCCACTCCCCTTGTAGCACACGCAAGTGACGATTATCTGTAAAAAAAAAA